CAACCAAAGACCCTGGCGCTGCAGGCATTGCCTTCGCAGGAGGCACTGCTACTTTTGGAGCAGCTTTCGCTGGTCGGGCGCCCGGCGCAGGTACGACGCATGGCTCTGGCCAGAGGGGTAAGAAAGACTAGCTTCAGCTGCGTACCCTTTGAACCTCAGTGGTCCGCTTCAATATAGCTCCTGAGTTGCAAGTCCAGTTTGCAGACATGTGCAATCGCTGACTGGCAACAAGATGCTTCAGCTGCAGCACTCGGTTTATTGCGACACATCGCAGAGCTTCATCACAAACACCTGAACTTCAAGTGCCCTAGAGACATAAGTGGCCCCGGCTCATTAGGGCCGAAGCATGCTAGGGCTGTCATCATGACTGTAGACACGCATGTCAGGTGCATTGAGTTTCCAACCATCAGGTCGGCTCGTCGGAAGTCAAGCGATGGGAGCACCTTCGTGCCCATCTCTTCAGCAGCGGACTGTGTGACGGGCCATCCCAGAGAGGCGAGCTTGTCAGCTGGCGACATGAGTCCGCCGCTTCTACGGTACGTGGGGATGGCATTTGAGTGCGCGCTCCATGTACGAGAGAATTCGTACCTATCCCCGAGGTAATAGAACAGGTTGTCATTATCGACGGGCTGCTGCTGGTATCTCTTACAGTAATCCATGTCCAGCTGATGGACCAGGAGGGACTCCCTCGAGTTCAGCAAGGGCGAGCAGTCAGTCCACTCCTTGCTTTGGAATAGGCTTGCTGGAAATAATCATGCAGAAGGCAGCTTAAAACAAATGCAGCCTCAACAAGAAAAACGAACAGCACTGGTACACCTGTTTCCGTGAATTTGGGGTTTGGGGTTTGAGGTTTCCGTAAATGCTGAATCCCTAAACAGTTACTCAACCATAAACCCAAAACATTGCAAGCTGGAAATTATCACGCAGAAAGCAGCTTAAAACAAACGCAGCCGCAACATTGCAAAGCTGGCAGCACCGGTACATCTCAATCCGTGACTTTGGGGGCTTGGGGTTTGAGGGGGCTCCGTAAACGCTGAACCCTAAACCCTTACCTAACCATAACCCCAAAACATGGCAGGCGAGCGGCAGGATTATACTCCAAGCGACGGCTGCGGCATAGCTGCTGGGCCTGAAGAGTTCGGGCCTGATCTGTGGAGATCAGATAGTCCTGCGGCTGTGTGTTCACAACCCGACGGATCGCTCGGGAGATGGCGCTGTACATCTCCTGGGGGTCATACAGCAAGGCGCTGCGGACTTTGTGAGCACATATGATGTATGTCCGAGGCCGGCGAAGACCGGCGTGCCCCACATCTTCCGGCTGCACCATTAGCTGATGCAGCCGGTAATCCTCTGCAAGCAGGTCCCGCACCATTCGCATCGGGATGTCCTGAGCAATACGAAGGGAATCCAAGGGTGATCGCTAGAAGTACAAGGCACAGGTAACGGGGACGTTTTCGAGAATCAAAAGGGCTGTGCCCATTTGCTTGTGCTTCTTTGCCCAAACAATGTAGATACTATTGTTGTCGCTTTCCTGCAGTTTCCGCTTGGTGTTGGCGCGAGAGTTATCCTGGCAAGGTAGCCCGCTGACGTCCAGCTGGACTGGTCGGCAGGTCGGGCGCATTCTGCCATGCTCAAAACAGTACTGCGCCCCCTGCAAGTGCGCAGCTTTGGCTGCGTGAAGCTTCTGCGCGAAGGTGCCTTCCTCCGGGATGGAGCCGTAGGGAACTTGCTGCATCGCGTCGCAGAAAGAGCAGGGCTTAGCGTGGGGCTCTTCCAGCCAGGAATGAATCCATTCATGGTGCTCTCGCAGCACCTGTCGGCAGTGGGGATCCAATTCCTGAGATGAAAACTGCACTCACAACGCAAGTTCCAGATAGAACTGCTTCAGACGCTGTTATTGCAAACAAGGTTCGTGGGAGGACACAGGCTTGAGCTGTGCAAACTTTTCCTCAAGAGGCCCTCCAGCGCGGATCGTCTGCTGGATGATGGCAGCCGCTACCTCTGCAGTTCCCACTCCTGAGCAGGAGCTGGAGAAGTGGAGAATGCTGCGGCCCAAAAAGGAAACCTCAGCCAAACAATGTCCAGGCACAAGTGAATCTATGAGAGACTCAACCAAAGCAAGTGCAAGGTAATCGCTGTCAAGCAGTGAGCCTTCTTCAGCGTATCCACGGGGATACATCTCTTCACCACTGCCCAAGCCATGCGAACAGCGCGGGCTGCCAGAGCCAAACGAGTACATTCCGCGGAGTCCTAAGCTGATAGCGAAAAACATTGATGGCAAGGCCCGCGCCAGATGCAATCTGCAACTACAAGCAAATTGTCACCAAGTGTGCAACCATTCAGCTGAGAATCCTCAAAGGGTGACACGGAAAGCTGTGACGAGGAGGATGTTGTTCGGGTTGGCACAGGCTGTGGCTCGTCGCCGCTGTCTGTGACCAGACACTCTGCAGTTTCTGTCCGTCTGTCAGTGACGGTTAGGGGTCCGGGCAGCCCCCGCCCCATCATCACCACAGACTGTCCATCAGACATGAGGGCAGCTGAGAGGGCAGCCTCCCAACCCTACTACTTGCCCATTGCCTCAAGTAGCAATCGGTGCCTAACGCATGGACTCCTGGAGCCCACACGTCTGCGCTACAACACCAACAGCTGGCTGCAAAAACATGTGATAATGCCTGGAGGTTTGTGTGAACAGCACGGGGCAACAACGCCTGCTCACATGGGACGGCTGAGGCTGTTGCGACTGGGGGCGCGTAAGCGCCAGCTCCAACTTCTGTGTCATAGAAGTAGAACAGCTCAACAGGCTTCATGGCATTATCCGACCCATCGAATTGCACCTGCGAGCGAACACAGGGCCCACGCAGACTACACATTTCAAGAAATGGTTGTAAGTATGACTTCATGACTGCGTTCCAGGCACGCGGAGATGCTTCTGATGCATCAACTCTGCACGCGCGCGGACCAGGTAGACAATCTGTGCCAGTAGTGAATGTTCACTGCCGACAGCCAAACTTGCAACACACGTTTCGGCCAAGTAGCACAGATTCGATACGCTGCGGCGGTCACCTTGATGGAACTCTGCAAGGAGGACAGAGCGCCCGAGATCCACCGCTCCTGACAAACACATTGGGGCAAAAGGCTCACCCTTGCTGAGATGACTTTCACAGGGCTGCGTCATGCCACCCAGTCCTGCCCCATGAACAACGTCTGTGCCACTTGCGCGCAGGTCTCCCGCACAATCGTGATAGGAGTGCGGAATTTCTGTGCCCGCTTGAAACAACCCATCAAACGGCTTTGAAGGGAACGCTTGTTGCTTCCCGCCTGCCTTTGCCTAGGTCCAGTACTGACCTGCACAGGCAATGTTACCTGCGTGATGTGTGCATCCAGGAAAGCTGCAAGCTGTGTCACAATCGACAGGGCCACGCCCTGCAGAGCCAATTTAGCAGCAAAACTGCGTGGCTCCTTCCTCCGGAGCTCACGCGGGACATCCATGCAGAAACAAACAAAGTCAGCTGGGTGGATTTGTGGCGGCACACTTCCTATCCAGGGCTTGCGTTGGTTCCCCAAATCCGAAGTCCACGCCGCAGCAACGTTGCTCATGTAAAAATTCTGTGACCAGTTCGAAATCTGACAGTCGTTTCAAAACTTGTTTCACCCAAGTACTTGAACTCAAGTCCTCGGAGTACTGCAGAACATCAAGCTGGAACTTTCCTGTTGCAAATGCGTTGTCAAACAATGCCCGGAACAAGCCATGCGCAAGTGAACGATGCTCTGCTGTCCTGGCATTGGATGTGCTCATGTGCAGCACATATGAAACCATCAATGATGTTGGGACGTAAGCCGTGGCCACCTGACCACCTGTCCTCACAGATGGCGCCTGCTTACCTGTTTGCACTGGCAATCCTGGCCAGAGCTGCTCATGCGCCTCCAGTACAGCTGACTCGTTTTTGCGGCATTTGCCGACCAAGCTCTCTTCACTGGATGTGCTGAAAAAACTCCGGCCAAGTGTACCTAATGACCATTGGCATTGAGAACTGCTGCTCGAACTCGTGCAAACTAACACGTCTCTGGCAGCTTGTTGCTGGTTGATGCGAAATGTGCCTCGGAACAAAGGTGAGTCAACAAGGAGATTTGCAAAGCTTGGCACATGCACTTGCTGTCTCAAGCAAAAGGAGGCTGCCCAGCTAAGAAAATGACGGAATTGCGCTTCAGAACCAGGTTGGGTCTCCATGGAGCGGGAGGCTCAAACAACCATGTCAACAGAAACAAATGTACCCTGAATAGTTGATGGGAAAGTGTTTGCTGCACGTCAAATTGATGTTGCCGCATGCATGAAACTCTGATCTCAGGAGCTGCGTATGAAATGTCCAGCAATCAAGGTGGTGGTCTGCAGCCTGAACAACGATGATGGAACAGACTAAGGCTTAGCAAGGCTTATTAAGGCTTAGTAGGGCTCAGTAGGGCTTAGTAAGGCTTAGTAAGGCTTAGTAAGGCTTAGTAGTGTTTAGTTAGTTTTTGGTAGTTGCGAAACCTCGTTGAGAGCTAATGAGGGGGGGGTTGGGGGGGGCTCTTAGGAGCCCATGATTAGGGATTAGGGATATATCGCCCCAACAATGGAAATTCAAATGGGACAACTGGAATATCAAATGGAAACTGGGTTTATGAAGGCCAAACCCTTAGCGCCCGACGTGGCTTGGCGTACAGCTCGCAGGTTCCCGAAAACTTGCAAAAATCTTGGGATGATGGAATCCCAAATGGAAACTACTATAGTATACAGAAGATAACGGAAAATCAAATGGAAACTACTATAATAGTATATTGGGGATAACGGAATATACAATGGAAACTACTATAGTGTATTGGGGAGAATGGAAAATAACGTGGAAACAGCTATAGTACATCGGGATATTGGGGTTATATTGGGGATAATGGAAAATAAAATGAAAACTGCTCGTCTTTGGGGAGCCTATTGCTAAAGACCTCACTCGCATACTGCCCCTGAGGTCAACAAGGACCCTGCGGAGGCCATGGTGGCAATATCAGAACACAAGCGCTTCGTGCAGGCTCGAGCCGGCCGAAAATGGCTATTGCCATTACGAGTACTATTCCTATTATTCTTCCTGCTACTGTGTAACTATTACCGCTACCATTACTTTTACTATAACTGTTGCAGTTACTATCACTATTAATTACCATACAATCACTTTTAATGTCACTCGTCTTAGTATCAGTCTTTCTTTTAGTGCTAGTTGGGTTATGGGTGGTACACATGTGCAAGTCCTGCTCCCAGGAATCATCTCTGAGGTTTCTTCTCATCAGGATCCGTGCAGTTTGGCGTTTAGAGAAGAGCCCTGAGCTCCATAAAGCCTACACAGCGCAGCGCTAAACTCGCAAACCTTTTATCTCAAGTTCTGAAACCTGGTGTATAGCCTTCTGGGAGGTGGCCATCCGAACCCTGGCGCAAGAGAGGGACGAGCTTATCGCCCAAGGCCGCAAGGTGATTTGCGCCGACAACAGGTTGGTCTGCGACGCTGTGACCTTGAAGTACGGACGCCACTCGGTGGAGCTCTGAAGACTCTCAGCAATGCAACGATGACAATGATTTGTGTGATCTTATTCCTGAGAGGGCAAAATACATGGCAAAACCAAAGTAATGGCTTCTAGTACCACATGACGTTTGCTGAGCTATTTGCAGTAGGATTGAGGTGCTCCGGCATCAGCAAGAGGGAAGAGAGCATTTGCGGAATACCCGCAGTCATGGTAGCATCTATGAACCACCGCGGTCCATGAACGCCTTATCAGGCGAGATGTGGTTCGGGTACATTGGGCAGCTGGAGATCGTCAACGGAGGGCTTGGGGTCGGTGGCAGAATCGGCGCCCCGCGCGCGACCTTGAGAGCCATGCCAGCTTATAGATTCCCCGCCGGTTTTTGGGTTGAAATCGAATGGGAAGCTTCAGATATAGAGTCAATGTACACAAAGCCATGAGCAATACTTCTTTCAAGGGAAGAAAGCGCATCCAGGGTTCTGATACTTCACCCGAAACCATGAATGACAGCCTTCAACTCATCCCTATAGACCCTAAACTTGCCCTAAACCCTTTTCAGGCCTGAACCTTGTCGCCTCGGTCGGTCTTCCCCAGATGTCCGTCATTCAGCTGCTGGGGAAGCTGGGCGTGCCTGGGTTGAGGATTGGAACAATCTTTTCGGAATGGCCCGAATCATGAACACATGGAATGATGATGCTCCTAGTGTGACTGGGCAAATTACAACAACCTCCGCGAACCTCACCCTAAACGGTGGCTCAGAAATGATCATGATACTTCAGACATGGTTTACTTTTCTTTAAGTATGGAACTCACGGTATAAGCAGTGGTTGATACCATTGCGAAAACAGCGCTGTTGCAAGCACCAATTTGCAGCTCACACAGCAGGAGGTCTCTGCGCAGCTGAGGCAAAGTATCCTGGCGACTGGAGGAGCGAGAGAGACGCCGAGAGGCCTGGGTCGCGGGTCGATTTAGGCTAATCAGTAGCCTACCATATTGATCTTTGGCCAGAATACCCGAGTCTGCCATCAGGTAGCTGAATAGTGGCAGCTGAATATTGGCAGAGCTGGTTTCCCGAAGGCTGATACTCTTGAAGCCCATCAATTCAGCTTGTAAGTCATGAAGAAGCAGCAGCATTCCGCTAGTTTTCCGTTGGTGTATTGGCGACGCAAAACTTGAGATCAATATCAAAAATGCGCGCTGGACAGTGGCTGCGGAATGATGTGGAATCTTCGTGGAAGGGGATGGCTGCGCGGAAGGGTCGTAGAAGGCGCATGCAAAAGCGCACACGAATTAATCCATAAGATCAGCACGAGCGTTAACAGCAAGACGCTGATTCATTTCTGTTTTCAAGCTCGGGCGGAAGGCTCGCGGATGGTTCGCGGAAGGCGGAGAACAATTTTCAATCCCATGGGCAACGTCAAGTTTTGCAACTGCAAAAGTTGCCAGCAGAAAACACTAGCAGCTCATCCTCGTCCTAAAGTATTTCATGAGAAAAAGATCCAATTTGGAAGACAAGAGGTTCGCAGAAGGTTCGCCGAAGCAACAATTTGCAAGATGTAAAAACAAAAATGATGAGGACGCTCTGGGCCGCGGAAAGGACGCGGAACGGTCCCCAGAAGGGTTTCGCAGAAGGATTGCTGGCATCATAGGAGTTAAAACAGAGAAAACAACGCCGCTAAGTCGTAGCACCGGAAGCTGCACAAGTAGTAGTAGCAGCTGCTGCTGCTACAGCTACTACTACTACGACGACGACTACGACTACTACTACTACTGCTACTACTACTACTACTACTACTACCACCACTACTACCAGTACTACCACCACTACTACTACTACTACTACTACTACTACTCTTGCTGACTGCTGGTGCTGCTGCTGCTGCTGCTGTTGCTGCTGTTGCTGCTGTTGCTGCTGTTGCTGCTGTTGCTGCTGTTGCTGTTGCTGCTGCTGCTGCTGCTGCTGGTGTTGTTGTTGTTGTTGTTGTTGTTGTTGTGGTCGTCGTCGGCGTCGTCGTCGGCGTCGGCGTTGTCGTCGTCCTCGTCCTTGTCCTCTTCCTCTTCCTCGTCGTCGTCGGCGTCGTCGTCCTTGTTGTTTCTCTTGTTCTTGTTCTTCTTGTTCTTCTTGTTGTTTTTGTTCTTCTTGTTGTTCTCGTTCTTGTTCTTGTTGTTGGTGGTTGTGATTGTGGTTGTGGTCGTGATTGTGGTGGTGGCGGCGGCGGCGGTGGTGGTTGGTGGTGTTGGTGTTATTGGTGTTATTGGTGTTGTTGCTGTTCATGTTGTTTTTTCTTGTTGTTCTTTTTGTTGTTGTTCTTCTTGTTCGTCTTGTTGTTCTTCTTGTTGTCATTGTTGTTCTTGTTGTTGTTCTTGTTCTTGTTGTCGTTGTTGTCGTTGTTGTTGTTGTTGGTGGTGGTGGTGGTGGTGGTGGTGGTGGCGGCGGTGGCGGCGGTGGCGGCGGCGGCAATGCTGCTGCTGCTGTTGTTGTGGTGGATATGGTTATGGTTGTTGTTTTTTTGTTTTTGTGGGGTTGTTGATGTTGTTGTTGTTGTTGTTGCTGTTGCTGTTCTCGTTCTCGTTCTTGTTCCTCCTACTGCTCCTCCTCTTGCCCCAGCTTTTGCTGCTGCTGCTGCTGGTGTTGTTGTTGTTGTTGCTGCTGCTGCTGTTGTTGTTGGTCAGGGGCGCCTAATTTTCGTGTATTTCCCTGCTTGTTGGCGTATGAAAGCACCCCAGGCGTGGCATTTTAGCACATGGAAGGGTTTGGGTTCGGCCTGAAGAACCATTTTTTGAAGATGAACTCCATCAATGCATTCATCCCCACATGCTGCCAGGGATGTCGTCTGGCATTATTGGGGCAGGCACCGGTCGTTTGAACGGGAAATCTGAACCTGCATCGAGGTCTCAGTGTACGCCTAGTCACTAGTCCGGTTTCGCGAAAGTTTGTTGATTGATTCTGCTGAATATCAGGAAGCATCCAGTCACCGCTGATTCCTTTGCGCAAGAACATGTGCTTTCATGTGCTTGCTTGTGGAGAACAGTACTCATGTGCAGCCACTTCCAGAACATGCGCGACTCGCTTCGGGGGGAACTCGGACTTCGGAAGCTGACGCTGGGTGTTCACTGAATGCAAAGCCTCCCCTCCTTGCAGCCTCAGAACACACATCCCGCAATTTCTTGACAACATCTTCAGGTGTGCAAAGTACATTGGCTTGCGCATGTCATGCATTTGTGAAAGGTTCATGTAGACAGTTTTACAGGAATCTGGTTGAAACAACTGGAAAACAAAGCTCCTTAGTCCAACGGCTGTGGTGCTTATTATGTGACGTGAGTTTGGGCGTCTCAGGAAGGTCATGGCAGAATATGGCAAGGCGCGACCCGCCCTGCAAGCATGACGAAATTCTTTTGTCCCTTGTGAATGGCAGGTGAAGGTTACGGGCAAGATTGTCTACGGGCTGACAGACAAACCTGCCAACCGTTATGAGTTCGATTGTGAAGAGATGGGTGGCAGGGTGGATGTTGTGTCCTACTTCAAGCATAAGCACGGCATCAGCGTGCAGTACCCTGACCTGCCTTGCATCCAACTGGGCAATGCCCGCACCTGCATCCCCATGGAGTTCGTGTATGTCATGGGCGGCGCCTTGCACAGAAGAGTTGTGCACGATGAGCACATTACATGCGTTCAAGGGTTCAGTTTACAAGGTGAACACAACCTGGCGGTGGGAAAGCTGCGGCCGGAGTTCCAGCAAGAGGCCTGCAGCCTGACAGTATGATTCAAGCCTACTTGACATAATAATTGCGTCAAAGCTCGTGTTGCAAGCAAGCCTGGATGCAGCTGCCCTGCATTTAATAGGGAAAAAAGAAACCTTGCTACAGTAATGTACAGTCATCTATAACAGTCATAGCGATTGGTAGTTTACCCGGGAGCTGCCAGGTCACGAGGAGGACTGCAATGCAGCCGTCCATCCGGCGAGACCAGATCATGCAAGCCCTGAACAACAAAGAGCTAGGCCAGCGCAAGAGCTGCATTCAAATGAGCACACGAAACTATCACCGCGTGTGCCGTCCAAGACTGGGTAGCTCTTCTAAGTCTTGTCAATTTTTTGTAGGACACCTGTCCAGCACTGCCATGTAGTGTGGCTTTGGTGCAAGGCCCTTCCGCTGCGCTGAAAGGAAAGGGAGTCACTTGGACATGATCTGTTGCGGTGATCTGTTGCGGCCGGTAAAGCTCTAAGGGTCATGGTCGCGGGCCGGGGTTTTAAGACTCGGGCTTCACGCAGGGCCCAGCGGTTTAGCATAGTTGGGGATTGGAGGCACCACGAAGCAGAATCCTTGTAATGAGGTGGCATGTTGCTATGCAAAGACCAGGTGGTCTAATTCGGCCAGAAGGAACTCCAAGTGTGGAACAGGTATTGCTTGAGATGCACTGTTATGGTTCGTGCCTCCTCTGGGCAGTCTGGTACCGTTTGCTTTCTGGGGTCATCCTTCCCAGAATTATCATCATCTTACAGTGCAAGCATGGTGCCTATTTCTTGCTACGTCGCTATCGCTATGAGTTCCTTCGCAATTTCCGCTTGAGATCAACATGGACTTCCAGATGATCCCCGTCAGCGGCCGACAGTTGGACACGCCGAAGCTCAAAGACGGTGGCCCCGCCTGGGATTTTGTTTAGAGAAGCTCCTTCGGAGAACGTCGAATTCATTGTAGACTGCCACTAGGGCAATAGGTATTGTGAAGATTTGTACCGTCTCCTGTTCCTCGGGAGCATGGGGTTGTCGTCAGCTGCATGTCTGAGGCAACAGCGTCATGAGGGAGTCGACGAACTACTCTAACAGCTTCAAGACGCTTTCCCCGCCGAAGTTCAATGACGCTCTGGTTGAACTTCTGAGCTCGTATGCCCCGTTTGATGGCTGGGCATCCTTCAATTGTTCGATTCGCGTTTCCATTGAAATCGAGAACAGCGCATTTTAGAAACGGCAAGCCGCGCCATTCCTAGCTAGACTCCAAGCCCTGTAGAAGTTGAGGTCTCCTGGGGCCTCTGGTGCTTCACAACAGAGAGTCGCCCTAGTCAGCCGCCTGGCAGCAATCTCACAAACTATCTGTCCCTCGGCACTCGTGCCTTTTTAGAAGCCTTAGCTACCAGTCATAAGAAGACCGACGGTGATGGCAACGATAATGATGCTGGAAGAGAGATCAGAGGAGCAACGGTATGCAACGCTAACATCATTGGCAATCATGCGTATTCAGAGAGATTTACGCTCTGCCACGCGGCCTACCGCGTGTTGTAGCAGACTTTCTGCCATGACTTTTGTCACGGTGCCCTTTGGGGTCGGAGCTCATTTGCAGAGACTTCTACAGTAACCTGTCCACCGCAGCAAATCGGGAAAGATACATGGGGGTTTCCAAAGATTGCGGGTATCGGAGGCTCCCATGATCAGGATGTTAAATCTCTTGGGGCTTCCCGTTTAGGGATCGCCCACCCGCCCCCGAAATCAATAGCGGGGAAGTTGATGCAGGTCAGACGTCAGCTGGTTCGCGGGCCAGTTCAAGACGAGTTGCAACAGAAACTTGCTGGTGGTTAGTGGGGAATATGG